TCGGGTTATTCAAAGTTGTGTCAAGTTGACAAAGCTAGACATCGCGCTCACGCATGTTGTGATGGCTGGTTTCAGTTTTCAGCTTGATGACATTAGTGGGGGGTTGCTTTGATTACCCTAGTTGATGTGAGAAGATCTGTCACTGTGGCCTGGGATGCTAGACTGTATAAAAAAACGTGAAAGTAAACACAAGCACTCGTCATGAATATGGCATGGTCATATCTTCAAGCTTCTTTTGCTGTCATTTCCCTGCCACAATAGACTGTCACCTACACAAGCTCTTCCTTCCTGAAGTCCCTTGGTCGGTGTCTTTTGTCACAACCACCAAAAGTAACTCATGAGTTGGTTCTCAGTTGGTGGAACTGTCTGAGAAGGATTAGGAGGTGTGGCCTTGTTGGAGGAGCTGTGTCACTGGGGTGGGCTTTGAGATTTCAAAAGCCCATCCCACGCCCAGTTAGGGCTCTTTTGCCTCATGTTTGTGGATCAGGATGTAAGATCTTAGCTGCTGTTCCAGCACTAGGCCTGTGTGTCTGCCGCCACGCCCCCCCCCACTATGATGGCCACTGGAACTGTAAGGCCCCAATAAACTATTTCTTCTGTAAGTTGCCTTGGTCATGGTGCTTTGTCATGGTGTCATAGTAATGGGAAATTAACTAAGACTAACACACACACACACAGAAAATAACAACAAAACCTCAATGAAATAATAGGATTTGGGCAGCGAATAAAGCTGATAGAGAACGTCATGTTGAGGACTGTGGAAGTCATTGCTGCCTCCGTCCTCACCACGCTCATGCCCTCGTTGTGACCCGTGAGAAAGCTCCCTGGGCCTGTTGCCCATCCCTGCCTCTTGGGTTAACATCATGCTTGACTGAAAACTTGGTGAGTTATCCCTGGGCAGCCAACCTAAGAACTCTCCAGATTAGGCCTGGGAGACAGAGCGCCTCTGGCTGGGTCGTAGCCTTGTCTCTCTCAATTGTCTCTGTCCCAGCCTCCCTCTTTGCTGTCTCCTCTCTCTGGCCTTCCCTCTTCCACCCGCCTCTTCTGCAATTTATCTTGCTCCTCTTTTCCTCCATGTCTTCTCTGCAAACCCTAAGGACCCTTAGCATATGAGAATAGGCTCTTGGCCAGTACCCTAATCTCATTGCCCAGGTCCCCACAGTGACTTAGGATCCCCATTCAAGTCCATTACTTCTGCTCAAGCACTTGTCTAAAGAACGACTCCTTAGATCTTTCCCACTGTGCGAGTGAGTGTGTGGGAGGGTGGGGTGGGGCGCATACATGTACATGTTCGTGTGCGTGCAGAGGCCAGAGGAAGTGTCTCCATCCATCACTCTCCACCTTAGTGCCCTGAGATAAGACCTCTCGCTGACTCTAAAGCTCGTGGTTTTGGCCAGCCCTTGCCCATGTACACAGCAAGGCATCTTCCCAGCCCCCATTCCTTTACTGTCTAATAAATTTTTATGTAGCCTTTGGAACACAGGTGTATGAATTAGGTGTACAAATCAAACACTGATATAAATCATGAAGAAATTCATTTAAAAACAGTTCTTTGATATACACATAATTTTACCATTTATTAAAGATGAAAGCAAACCTGCATGCTAATGAGATGAATATGCTTGTTCATTTTTACATAAAGAATTAAATCTTGGCTGAATATTTAATATTGCAGGGTGCCGAGCGTCTCCAATGTTTTTCAGAGTTGCTCAATATTTTGATTTTATAATCATCAATGCTGAGAATGCCACTTTGCATAAATACATAGCACAAAATGGTAGAACTATGTTTAGGGCCATTTCAGAAACTGTAGGAGATTCTATCCTAAACCCAAGCCAGAATTCATTTAATGATATTTTTAATGCAACTCAAGTCAGAAACTCAAACAGCAATTTTTAAAGTCAAACACTCTAACACAATACAATCCAAATACATACTAATTTGATATTTGCATGCTGAAGAGTGACAGTGGGAAACATGGAGTCTTTGTTTTCTGTAATTAAACAGCTCTGCTACTGCGAGAGCAGAAACGTTTGCACGTACAACTGAAGCACTGAGACCCAGGCCAGGAGGGCAATCCCAGCTTGCCGCAGGGGCGTGAGGGCAGAGCTCAGCCCTTATCACCATGTACACCCTTGTAATCACAGCTCTGGGGAGACAGACAGATCTCTGTGGCTCATTAGCCAGCCAACCTAACCTACTCTGTGACTCCTAGGTCTCACTCAGTGAGAGACTCTTGTCTCAGAAGAACAGCATGGGCAATTCTTGAGGAACATCATCCAAGGTTCACCTCTAGCCCACCCCTCCATACACATACAGCCCATCCCCCACAGGCCACTTCGTTTTGTAACATATGACAATCTGGACTCTGAGCTGGGGGGGGGTTCACTGGATGAGTCGATGTAAATATGTTGGCCACAGCCAATACTTGGGTGACGTTGCGTGCCTCAATATGGGCAAACACTGCCAGAGACAGCGTAGATTTTACAATGCATTTCATTTTGAAGTAACTTGGTTGTCATGTGTTTAGAAACCTTTTTTACTCACGCCATTTTTTTCCCATGACTATCACATTCAGTTTCATGACCTTGGTGTGTAAGACTGGGTTCTAGAAAAGTCTATGGCGTGCCTTGTAGAGACTGAAGGCAGTGTGCAGAGGTATCAGGATGACTGCAATGTATAATCCCTTTACTGCTATAGGTTAGACACCAACTCCCTGCCCATTGGTGCATTTCCTTGGAAAGAACTTAGGCACATCCCCAGAAGTCCTTTGAACAAGGCTAAGAATCCAGCGGGAAGAACCAACCTAGCACTGGAGTAAGATAAGACATGAAAATGGGTTTCCACAGTGTGTTGGAGGCCCTGGTGGAGAGCAAGGTATTTTAGGACACCTTAGGAGGTGTCCTAGATAACCTTAACTGTCAAGTTGACAGCCTGGAGTCACCTGAGAAGGGAGACTCAACTGAGAACTTGCCAAGATTGGATTGGCATGTGGACACATTTGAGAAGGATTGTGTTGATTTTGAACAGATGAAGAGGTACCGTCTATCCGTGGGCAGGTCGTCCTCGGCTGCTTATGAATGCCAGCTGGATCTGAGTCTGGGAGTAAGCTAGCAAGAGTGTTTCTTTATGGTTCTTACCTCCAGGTTCCTGCTAGAGTTCCTGCTCTGACTTCTCTCAATGAGACTCTGACCTGGAAATGTAAGCCAATTTTGCTTTTGGTCAGAGTGGTGTTGGGGTGTGTGTGTGTGTGTGTGTGTGTGTGTGTGTGTGTGTGTGTGTGCGTGGAGCAGAAAGAGGTACTGGAGAAGTGAGGTGTGGCTGTGATGAACCTGACCATGTGGCTGTCTATGTCTTTGGACTGTTTCTCTGGGGGATTGTGGAATTATCTAGAACTTTGGTCTGGAACTTCTTAATGGGTCATATTTATGGAAGTTTGTTAGTCTGAGGGAAATGTACCTGGCTTGTGAAGTTTCATAGGGAAGCAAAATAAGTCTGTCAAGACTTGGGGTACAGCCTGCTTGTATGACATTTTGGATTAAGAATTTGTGTGTGTTGATCAGCTGGATTGGCAACAGCTGTGACTGGCAGGCGCTCTGTTCCACTAAAGTGAAACCTTTTGGCCTTCATTGGGACGACAGGAAAGAGTTCCCTCAGGGTCAGCACAGAAACTGCTCCCAGGGGGACCAAAGCCATGTCTCCAACCGGCAGCCCAACTCGGCAATGTTTAAGAGTCCTCGTGCGGCCCTCTTTTTTGAAGACATGGGAGCGGCAGGACTGAAGGGGTTCTAAACAGAAGGTGAGCACTGGCACCTTGTGGAGAGGTCGAGGGCGGGGGGGTGGGCATTGGTGAAGGCGCGGTCTCAGTTGCAACGGAGAGCCTGGGATACTGGAGACACCGGTACCGAGGGAAGCCCACCAAGGACAGCAGCAGGCGCGGAGTGGAGAGGGTCAGAGACTGAGACAAGCTGTGTGTTGTGGGTGGCAGAACTGAGGGAGAAGGACCGCCTGAGCCTTTCGAAGCCAGGAGGTCACAAGTTAGTTCCAGATGCTGGACATGGAGCTATGGGATCCGGGTTTACACTGCTGGAGCTTGGTTTGGGTGGTTTCCATGCCCTGGTTCCTCTCTGTTAAAATAAGAAAGTGTACAGTTCATTTCTTATTTTATGGGAGCCACTGTTAAGGGACTTTGGGCTTCTAAAGCACTGGCATTAGTAAGGCATTCTAAAAAGAAAAAATATTTAATTTTTAAAATGTATGTGTTTGTTTGCATGTATGCATATGTACCACATGAACACTTGGAACCCACAGAGGCCAGAAGAGGGTCCCCTGGAACTGGAGCTACAGATGTCTGTGAGCTGCTGTGTGGGTGCTAAAAACTGACCCAGTCCTTTGTAAGAGCAGCAGTGATTTTTAACCTCTGAGTCATCTCCCAGCTCCAAACTGTAAGACATCCAAAGTTGTATTGTGCTTTGTATTATAATAATAACATGTTATCTTGGGGATAAAGGTCATGGCTTGAAGTGTCAACTGTGTGTCAAGTTGACAAGGGGTGGTGTGTCCTGGTTAACTTTAACTGTCAAGTTGACACACCCTAGAGTCACATGAGAAGGGCTGTTGAGATCAGATTGGCTTATGAGCATGAGGGATAGGTCCTGGCCCACTGTGGGCGGCACCATTCCTAGGCAAGTGGTCTTGAGAGAGTTAACTAAGCTTGAGTCAGCAAGCAGCCTTTCTCTATGGTTCCTGTCTCCAAGTTCTCTACAATTGCTGTCTCCAAGTTCCTGCCCCTACTTCTCTCAGTGACCCAGATGTATAAGAGAAATACATTTTTTCAATCCTCTAAGTTGGTTTTGGTTGTGGTGTTCGTCTCAGGAATAGCAAGAGAATTAAAAGAGGAGGAGACTGAAGAGTGAGGAGGGTGAGATGGTGAAGACCTGGACTCGAACACCCCATTTTCTTAGTCAAGCTCTAATCAGTTACTTTCCTCTCACTGCTGAGACAAAATACCAGACATGATCATCTTAAAGAATGAAGAGTTGATTTTGGCTCAGAGTTCTAGGGTGGTGGGACCTGGAAGCAGCTGGTCACGTGTCTGCTGCAGGGAGCAGGGAGAGATGAAAACAGCATCTTAGCCTTCCCATCAGCCTGGGACCGCAGCCCATGAGATGACAGTGCCTCCTTTTAGGGAGGGCCTTCCTGTTTCAAAGGACCACACCTAGATCATCTCCCAGACATCCCAGAGCTGACGGCCAAGAACAACTGTCACAGTTCTGTTTCCTGGTCCATTGAAGGGAGACCCTACCTTCAAGCAAGTGGCCTGAGTCATCTTTAGAGCGTCCGGTGCCATGCCCGGGCCTGAACTCAGGGTGTGCTTTGTGTCATCTTTATGAGCTGTGTGACGCTGCTGGGTACACAGGACCAGCAGAAGGGAGACTCTCACGGTTCCTAAGAAGGCTCCCCTGAAAGACGCCGGGCGTCATTCTAAAAGGACTTGTGGGACAGTGCTATCCAGTCAGTCAGCATGTGGTTCTGGTGGTCCCCTGCAGGTACCTAGGCTGGGAGGCTATGTTGATTTGCCTCCCTGCAGATGGATTTCAGAGGCCAAGCTGCTCCTTCCAGAGACTGCATGGGACACCCCCCCCCCCCCACCATCATGACAGAGTCCAGGCTCAGAATCCTGATCTCCAAGGCAATAAACACAGCTAATGGTGAGAGTGGGACCAGATTCAGGGACTGTGTGTGTGTGTGTGTGTGTGTGAGTGTGTGTGTGTGAGTGTGTGTGTGAGTGTGAGTGTGTGAGTGTGTGAGTGTGTGGGTGTGTGTGAGTGTGTGTGAGTGTGTGAGTGTGAGTGTGTGTGAGTGTGTGTGGGTGTGTGAGTGTGTGTGAGTGTGTGAGTGTGTGTGTGTGTGTGTGTGTGTGTGTGTGTGTGTGTGTGTGCTGCCCCTGATCTTGCTGCTGGGAACACCTCAGTCACCGAAAGCGCTAGGGAGCATCCTGTCCAGGGACTCCAGGGTCTCTGGATGGCTGCCTCCTCTCCTTTCCCTCCAGCTTCCTACCCTGATGGTGTAGTATGCCAGGGGCTCATGAGACACTGTTTCCCCAAAGAACTCAAACAGCAATGAAATATTTGATGATATAGTTTCCGGAAGATCTACTCCCGAGAGAGCCTGTCTTCGGATGATTGCCAGCTGCTTCTGTGCCAGGGCTGCCTTCCTTGGGGACCATCAACATATGGAACTTGTTTTTAATTTAAAATAAAGTAGACTCCCCAGTCCCCTACCTTTCTCGTTTCTGTCTCCTACTGGCTGGCACTCTGACCGTCCCGTAAACATAGGAGTGTTGCTGCTTCCCTGTCACTGTTTTACCTGGAAATTGTCACCCACTCCCTTGTCTTGGCCATGCTCCAGCCCCCCACCCCACCCCACCCCGCCCCACCCCTCCCCGCCCCGCCCCACCCCACCCCACCTCCAGCAGCCCCTGTTGCTGCTCACCCCAACCTCCTGGACCCCTTGATCTCTAAGCAAGTGGATCTGTGCTGTCCCCTCCCTAGTCTGCGCCCCCTTTCCTGTCCTTGAGAGGCCTGACAGGAATCCAAACAAGACCTGGGGGTGGGGTGGTGGGGGTAAAGGTGCAGGGTGGGGGTTGGGAAGGGTTCTTTCACGCCTGCCTGTGCTTGCCCAGGAAGAAGCACCCCTCATCCCTGGTGTGCACTATTTGTAGTCATCATCACCAAAGCCCCGGCCCCGTTTACAGGGGAGGAAACCCCTCTAGCCTGTAGAACCTGTCACCGGCTCTGACCCCAAAGCCTGCCCCTAACTCCACGGGAGTGTTCCCAGCAAAATCCCACAGTGGCCATCTGAGACTGTCTCAGCGTATAGCTGGCCACTGGTGGCACGGCGTAGTTACTCTGAAAGGCCGTTTTGTCCAGACGTTAGACTTTTCCCAGGGGTTTAAGTTTCTTAGCTTCGAGCAGCAAAAGAAGATGGGGTGGGGGGTCACACATGCCATGTGGCCGATCCAGCCTCCACCCTATCACATACTTCTCTCTGGGCCTCCCCCAGCCCCAGAAGCCCCCTCCCGGCCAGCCCCTGCAGATGACAGCCCTGTGATCCATCACCAGCCATCTGTTTTCTTGCTGCCAGGGACAGCAGAGCCTGGAGTTGTCGTCCCCCCCCCCCCCGAGCTGGTAGGCAGCTGCACCCTGCCCGTCACAGCCCACAAAAGGCTGTTTGCATTTGTCCATACTGGTCCCCCCACGCCCCTCCCCAGCCTTCCACTATCTGAAGACACAGCATCTTCCCATCCAGGCCTTGGAGTTTCTAACCAGACAGCCATGCTTCGTAGTGAGATTGCATGGAGATTGAGATTTGATGAGGTAAAGCCTTGGGCATCTGTGAATCCGTTCATGGCTCAGGCTGTGATGAAAGGGGCTGTTTGCTTAATACCCAAACCAAATTCAACCCAGGGCCTGGGCAGGCGTTCCAGAGAAGTGTCTCTCCTTTAGCCTCTTGAAAATCTGTGGCAAGATCCAAACACTTGTCAGTCCCTTGAGAAGGGTGGATTTTGTAGCGTGCCGTGGAACTGTTTGCCAAGATAGAGAGTGTCTCAGCTGCTCTTCAGGCTCCAGTGCCGGCATCTTCATTCTTGGGGTCCAAAATGTAAACGCTAAATCCCAGTCCCACTTTCTAGAGGGCAGTCAGATGGGCAGGCCTTGGGGAACTCTAAGTAGCTAGAAAGGAAATGAATGCTGAACCTTTGCAGGTTTGCTTCCCGAAATGGCGCGGCATCAGAATCTTCCCTTTACAAACAATTAAAAGGGCTCTTCTCTGTCTCTACCTTGGGACAATGACCTCCCCCAGACAGCAGCCCCACGGGCCCCTTCAAAAGGGCACAATCACCCCCGTAGCGTCTGTCGGTTCTGCTTGACTTGGAGAAATGGCTCCCTCCTCGGTGTTCCTAAAACATTTATCATCCCTGTGATTCCCCGGGCAATTAATCAGGTGCTGCCTTGACTATCTCTTGCAACGTTGTTGTATCGAGCGGCTGTTTAACCCTTATCAGCAGTGGGGCTTTCGACAGCTTGTCTTTTTGATTCAACAGGAGCTTCTAGAAGGCCGGGCAAAGTCCACCTATCGCTGTGTCCTGTGATTATTCCCTGAAGATGCCTGGTCTCTTCACCGGGAGAGTCTGTCTACCCCATAGATAGCATTTGCATGCAGGATGCTTAGCATTGACTGAGGCCCACGGTGCTCAACAAAGGGCCATCTGCACTGGTGTGCTCATGAATACTGCTGCCGGTTTGTTTGAACGTGATTGAGTATCTGCGGCTTTTATTGTTGTTTGGATTCTTTTAAAGATTTGCTTTATTTTTTTCTATTTATTTATTTATCGTGTGTGTGTGTGTGTTTGTGTGTGTGTATGTGTGTGTATGCATAAGAGCAGGTGCCCTCAGAGTCCAGAAAAAGGCATCCCTTGGAATTGGAGTTACAAACAGTTCTAGAAACCGAACTTGGGTTTTCTGTAAGATCAACCAGCACCATTGGGTCATTTCTCTAGCCCTGTCTTAAGACTTTATTGATGACTATTGTGGAGGTGGACATGTGCCATGGTCTGTGTGGGGTTGAGGGCAGTCAGTCTGTCCTTCTACTTCCAAGTCATCAAGCTTGTATTGCCGGGGAGCAAGAGCCTTCACCCTCTAAGCCTTCTCACTGGTCCTCCTGCCTGAGCATCTCTGCCTGAGCATCTCTGGGTTCCAGGCATTGTGCTTTTGTGGACAGTTAGGGCAGCAGTCGTATCTTTTCCTGACGAGCCTTGGAAATGCGAGCTCTGTTCTTCACGGCTAGCAAGCTGTCTGCTTCAAAGGCCCCTCCGACTGTGTTGCAGACTGCTCAGTCTGGGTGAAGGTGGTTGTTTTGATCTCACCTGTAGTATGTGGCTTTCAAAGGATAGAGGGTTTGTAGACAGCAACCTCCCACAGTCCCCCACAGAAATCAAGAAGGAAGGTCTGGCGGTGAGGCACTCTGCTAGTCTGAGGCGGGGGGGGGCAACGTTTCTGGGAAAATGTTTGTGATTCAGCAGTCTCAGCCCAAGGATGGAAAAAGACTTGAAGCAGCCTGAGTGAGGATCCGGGGAGCACCAGCCTGAGTGAGGATCCAGGGAGCACCAGCCTGAGGGAGGATACAGGGAGCACCAGCCTGAGTGAGGATCCGGGGAGCACCAGCCTAAGGGAGGATCCGGGGAGCATCAGCCTAAGGGAGGATCCAGGGAGCATCAGCCTAAGGGAGGATCCAGGGAGCACCAGCCTGAGTGAGGATCCGGGGAGCACCAGCCTGAGGGAGGATCCGGGGAGCACCAGCCTAAGGGAGGATCCGGGGAGCACCAGCCTGAGGGAGGATCCGGGGAGCACCAGCCTGAGGGAGGATCCAGGGAGTACCAGCCTGAGGGAGGATCCGGGGAGCACCAGCCTGAGTGAGGATCCAGGGAGCACCAGCCTAAGGGAGGATCCAGGGAGCATCAGCCTAAGGGAGGATCCAGGGAGCATCAGCCTAAGGGAGGATCCAGGGAGCACCAGCCTGAGTGAGGATCCAGGGAGCACCAGCCTGAGTGAGGATCCGGGGAGCACCAGCCTGAGGGAGGATCCGGGGAGCACCAGCCTAAGGGAGGATCCGGGGAGCACCAGCCTGAGGGAGGATCCGGGGAGCACCAGCCTGAGGGAGGATCCGGGGAGCACCAGCCTGAGGGAGGATCTGGGGAGCACCAAGCATATTTAGTGGACTGAGACTACCGAAATTCCGAGTAAGCCGGCTGCCCCTGGGCCATCCGTTGTCTTGTACTCATGCCTATTTCTCAGCTGCTGAAGAGGCTCCCACTTCCTGTGTGAAGAACGAGGGTGCAAGGGGGTGGCTGAGAGGTGTCATGACCCCCCACAGACGTGGTCTCCCAGCTTGAGATGGGGGGATACTGGAGGAGGCGGGGAAGCGCCTCCCTTCCAGATCTTTCTGAGATGAACTTTTTGCCCTTCCCTGATTCCCTTTGTCCGCCAAGGCCCCATCATCCCCTCCCCTACATTAAGGTTTTCTGTTTACAGGTGTGCTGCCCTGTGCCCCGGGGAGAGCCCATGAGGGCAGAGCCCGAGAGGCATCAGTGCAAAGTGCAAGGGTGGCCACGAGAATCTCCACATTCCTGCCAGGGCTGAGAGCTTCACAGAGACTCCATTTGGCTCTTTCTTGCAGCCAGCTAGGCCCTGGCTGTAGAGGGGCTGCTGATCTCTCTTAGGCTGCAGATCATCCCATCCAAATGTGAGCATTCGAACCATGACTCACTCCTGCCCGAGGTTTATGACTCTCCTGGGGTCCATTCCACAGCTCACTCCTCAGTCAAAGCCTGATTTGGGAGCAGCTGAGACCATGCCCAGGCCCCAGAAGGAAAGAAACCTACATCTCCCCAAGGGCCACCAGCCAGGGACAATGGATCCTCTGTCAGCCAGTAGCGAGTATTACAAAAACCTAAAGACATTATCCTGGCCCTGGTGAGACGTTTAGGAAATAAAACAGATTTTAAAAACACACATATACATGGAAAAAATGAAGTAGGAACACTGCTGGTGGTGAGGGACTCCAAGGTGACCTCACCCCCATCTGGCCCCGACAGAAAAGAGAGAATAATGTGTGGCCATTGTGAAAACCCCAGGGAATGGGCAGCCCTTTGGAGAGGTGCTTACCTCAATCAGGTTGAGGTCAAGCCCAGGAGACCCTCAAAAGGCAGTTGCAATGGCCCATCTTCATTGTCAACATGACAGCATTTAGAACCTCTGGTGAGGCACACTCTTACTGTGGAGATGTCTCCAGAAAGGTTTAACTGAGGCAGGAAGGGCCATCCTGAATATGGACAGCACTACTCCAAGGGCTGGGAGCCGGGCCTGGATAAAAAGGAGACAGCAATAAAGAAGACTTGTCTCTCTGCTTCATGGCGGTAGGCAGAGTGTGACTCTCTGCCTCATACTCCTGCTGCCGTGCCTTCGGTGCCGTCACAGACTGCACCCTGGAATTGTGAGCCTAGATGAGCCTTTCCTTCCTTAAACCGATTTCATCAGACATTTTGTCACAGCAAGGAGGGACGTTAATGAATACAATAACCTTATTTGGAAATAGCTTCTCTAAAGATGCAGTTAATTCGGGATCTCCAGACAATCCTTGAGCTAGGGAGCCCCAGTATCCAATGTGTGGGGATCCCTGGGGGGAAGAGATGGGGATTTAAAACACGGGGTCATGTGACAACAG